CATTTCTAAAGAAAATGCAGATGCACGTTGTTATTTGTTTATGGGGAAACTTGGCATGGTCCCCTGCATTCAAGTCATTAGTTTATCTTCAAGGTTGGAGTACACTGTGTGAACATTTGGAAGAATTTGCTATGTAATGTATATTTTTGTATATCCAGCAGGGCCTCTAGTGGTTGTTGTTACATTGGCAAAACTGTGTAGATGGACTAGCTGCACTGGAAACTTTCTGGCACAGTTACACCACTTCTATGTGTTCTAATGAACTAAGGGTGCTAGTGGATGAATGTTGATGAATCTTTATTGCAGCTGAAGATGTTATTTCCACACACTTTCTTGGTGTTCTATTTTTGGTATTTTTTTGTATCAGGCAGCAGAGTGTTGGACGCTTTTTTTCCCCCTACCCACCACGTTGACACTGAAGAAGCTGAAGTGCTTTTCTGGAGATGAGCTGACAAACTTTGGCAGAGGGCTAGAGCAAGCAGCTTGGAGTGATGGTGCCTTAAATTGCTGCCACAAGACTTGCATGTGTTTGTCCACTAGTGCCTTAAGCTGACAAAGTCTTTTCTGTAAGCTCAGCTAAAACTATGTCATGTTAAAGAATGCACCCCTTCTCTGTGTAGGAGATGGCTTCACATAGCTGAAAAACGGTGATTCCTCTTGGTTTTAATTTGCAGGTGATTTATGGCTTACAGAAAACAGCATGTGGAGTTTTGTGTTCAGGTATCTTGTGATATCACCATTGAATTAAATTTTGCTTCAGATCCTGTTACTAGAAGATAATTGAATGAGGTGACCTACTGCAAACTGACTAACCACAGAAGTGGGGGAATAGCTGGTAGTACTAAACTGCTTTTTCAGAATTAAAGAACAGTTCTGTTTAAGGTGCAGTGTTCAGAGCAGTCAAAGTGAAGAGGTGCATATGTAGACAAGTGCAATTTCTAAATTCTGGGCATAAGGAGTACACATTTTGGGAAGACAGGTCTAGATTGCCACAGTAGAGTAATGTAAATACAAGATGATGTGCAACAGATTCACTTTTTAATAAGAAATATTGGTTGTGTCCATGTGGGGTACTACAGCTCTACAAGATTCATTTAACAGATACTGGTTGCAACTGATCCATTTCCTGAAATGGTCAGGAATACCCAGGGAACTATAGGCCAGTTAGCCTCACCTCCATCCCTAGAAAGGTGATGGAACAGCTCATCCTGGAGGCCATTTCTAAGCAAGTGGAGGATGAGAAAGTGGTCAAGAATAGTCAGCATGGATTCACCAAAGGGAAATCATGCTTGACCAACGTGATAGCCTTCTGTAATGGGACAACTGGCTGGGGAGATGAGGGGAGAGCAGTGGATGTTGTCTGCCTGGACTTCAGCATGGCTTTTGACACTGTCTCCCGTCACATCCTCATAGGAAAGGTCAGGAAATGTGGGCTGGATGAGCAGCCGGTGAGGTGGATTGAGAACTGGCTGAATGACAGAGCTCGCAGGCTTGTGATCAGTGGCATAGAGTCTAGCTAGCAGTGTGCCCCAGGGGTCAACACTGGCTCCAGAAGTGTTTGTTTTTCATCAGTGCTTTGGAGGAAGGGACAGAGTGCACCCTCAGCAAGCTTGCTGATGATACAAAACTGGGAAGAGTAGCTGATACCGCAGAGGGCTGTGCTGCCCTTCAGAGGGACCTGGACAGGCTGGAGAGCTGGGCGGAGAGGAACCTCCTGAAGTTCCACATAGGCAAGTGCAGGGTCCTGCCCCCTGGGGATGAACAACCCTATGCACTAGGACAGGTTGAGGGATGCCCAGCTGGTGAAACAGTTTTGCAGAGAAGGACCTGGCAGTGCTGCCAGACAACAAGTTAAGCATGAGCCAGCAATGTGCCCTCATGGTCAAGAAGGCCAATGGTATCCTGGGTTGCATGAGGAAGAGTGTTGCCAGCAGGTCGAGGGAGGTGATCCTCCCCCTCTCCTCAGCCCTGGGGAGGCTGCATTTGGAGCGTTGTGTCCAGTTCTGGGCTCCCCAGGACAAGAGAGACATGGCACTCCTGGAGTGAATCCAGTGAAGGGCTGCTAAGTTGATGAAGGGACTGGAGCATCTCTCCTATGAAGAAAGGCTGCGAGAGCTGGGCCTGTTCAGCCTGGAGAAGAGAAGGCTGAGGAAGGATCCCATCAATGTGTACAAGTATCTGAAGGGAGGGGGTCGAGAGGATGGGGCCAGACTCTTCTCCATGGTGCCCAGGGACAGGACAAGAGGCAACAAGCATAAACTGAACCACAGGCAGTTCCATCTGAACCTGAGGAAAAACTTTTTCACTGTGAGGATGAGAGCACTGGACCAGGTTCCCTGGGGTGGTTGTGGAGTCTCCTCCTCTAGAGATATTCCAAACTTGCCTGGATGAAATCCTGTGCAATGTGCTCTAGAGGACCCTGCTTGAGTAGAGGGGTTGGACTGGATGATCTCCAGAGGTCCGTTCCAACCTCAATGATTCTGGTTTGTAGGATTCCTTCTCAGGCGGTTCATGAATCTCACTCCTGAATGGAGCTATCCTCCTCTTACCCAACTATCTACTTAGATGAGAGCAGGGAGTGAACTAGACACTTTGAAAGTCTATGTCGCAAGGCGATGAAAGGAGAAAGTAAATTGAATAAGGTGTCCGCGACATGCCTTTTACTGAAAAGCTGGATCCCTGCTCGTGCCCTGAATATGATTCCCATCCTCTCCTGTGACTTCCAGCCTGAATGAAGGTCTTGATATTTTTTAACAGGACAAAGTCAGAGGAGGAAGTGATGGAGAGAAGGTGTAAGAGGTGGCAGCTGAGTACTGGAAATGGACTGTGAAGGTGGAAGCACTGGATGGTCTGTTTAGTCAGGAAAAGTTTTGGATCCACTCTTTTGATGACTGCAGGGGAGGCCATGTTTCTGATGGAGAGCAGTGTGTGGAGAGGAAGCAGTAGAGGGGAAAGCTTGAATTTGCAGCCTCTGGTAAATGCTACTTGCCAGTATTGTGGGAGAAATTGTGGAAACAAGGTATTTTCAGTCTATGACTGATACAAGGGGGAGAACCTTTTCCATGAGACTTTTTGGGATAAGAATACACTCTAATGGCAGAAGAGATAACTGCCTTCCCCCCAAGTAGATGCAGGCCTTCTATTTAAAACATGGTTGTTACGAGGTAACATCCAGTTTTCAGGATGAAAGCTGCTGTTGTTTCTGAGATGGTCAGTTCCAAACTCTGTACTATACTTTCAAATATGAACTGCTTGCTTCCCTTCTCCTTTTAAAAACTAATTTCTTTTGTGTTCAGATCCTTGGATACTACAGTATTAACAGATCTGCACCCTTGTGTCTGCCCTTCTCTCCCCTCCTTCCTTCTAGTGCAATATTGCTAACTTTGTGTTTGTAAGACAGCTATTCATCAACTTGATATATACTAAGTTGCTGAGCTAATAAAGCTACTGTAGTAGAGAAGAGGTGGGCTGAGATGAAAACCCAGATGGTTCATGGTGTATTGAAGCCAACAAGCCTTTGATGTAGTGAACTGATGCTCTGCATTCTGTTTGCGCCTGTGTTGAGCTTTCTAGTGTCTGTATTACTTATTACCTGTTTTTTCTCTGTTGTCTGAAGTGGTGTAGCACCCCATTAACTAGGATGATAGCAGCAGGTCTGCATAGACATCTTGCTATTACATTGTCCTTACCATAAGTTGCTTACTATGAAAACAGTGACTCCTAAGCATGTTGGGAACTCTCAGCTCTTAAGAGATCGTGAATAGGACATTGTTCCACCACTTGAGGACAGCGTTTTTTTCCTTAGGTTTTAAGGCCCTCTGTGGTCACGTATACTGTTACATAAACGCACAAAGCTCCAGTAAATTACTGTTTTTTTGTTGTTAGTGACTGTAACTTGTTATAAGACCAGACTGTCTGTCAGTCTTAATGTTTGCAGCACGTTCCTTGGAAGTGAAACATTTAAGATGCAAATTTCTGATATAAGGAATTGAATGTTTGCTATTTTTGAATGTTTGCTAATGTTGGTATCAAGTAAACTGCCCATCAGCTGGGAATAACTTGTTTTTAAGCTGATCAGTTAGGCATCTAAAATTGGACAGAAATCAATGAAATAGATTAAAAAGAAGGTGCAAGGCTAGCATGGCTATTCTTTTCACGGTTTAATTACAATACTACCTATTTAAAAACAATTTCAATATTTTTATGGCTTTTTTCCTGTGATGGAAAAGACATAAGGTATCTGAAATACGCATACACTGGCTTATATGCCAGTTCTGATGGAATTGCCTTTAGCTCTGTGTAACATTGACCCTTGAGAGAGATTTTAAAAGTGTACTTACTCGATCATTCAAGTCTATTGCTTGCTAGCATAGAGAAATGAGAGAAAAATCAATTCAGCATTCTACCTACATAATAAAGTGTTTTATGCTAACCTGTTTCCACATGGTTATTGGCAAAGAATTGTATGCAGGATGCAGACAAATTTTATTACCTTTATTAGCTTATTATCAAGATCTTTAAATATGTTGAGTAAGAGACTACTTTCATTTTGATGTTTCTTCAGGGTCTGGTTTAAAGAATGCGTAATGAAATTTGCAACTGCATTAGGTTAGTGTATCTTTGTGTATCGCTTGTGGCTTGGCTATTTCAATTGTGAGTTAGCTGGCCTCTCCTTTCTCAAGGGATGTTTCCAACTTCCAAGCTGGAATACTTGGACTTTCAACTATTTTTCTTTGGCCTGACTTTGATATATCCAAATGCTAATTATAGGGGGCTTTGAGTCTGTGTGCATACGTAGTTTTACAAGGTCATACACATAATGAACTGGCTAAAATGCTGCTTATATTTCATCAGGTTGTTACATAACAGATTACTGTATTTTTTAGACATTGTTTCATTAACAAATTTGTTTTTCCTCTTTTAAACTTACAGGCAACGCCTGCCTAGGGTTATTGATTTTCAGTTTGTCTCCTAAACTTAAACCTTCATTGTCTCTGCAGGCGTTGGAAGGTGTCACCTTCATTGGACCTGACACGCATGCTATTCAAGCTATGGGAGACAAGATTGAAAGCAAATTGTTAGCCAAGAATGCAAAGGTCAACACAATTCCTGGCTTTGATGGGGTAGTCAAGGTGAGAAACCATTTAACTACTTCTGTCCACTGTAGAAATCGGTGTCTAAACTGAAGTATACTTTTTAAAGGTATGATGAAAAAAGTAATCATAAATTCAGCTGCTTTTTCAAGGAGATGTACAATTAAAAAATGTCAGCATACAGATTTTTACTAGCAAGAGTGCTTTGGAAGAGAAGTTCTAGGAAGAGTGCCTCAACAGACAGTGTATTAAGGACTGCTTGTAAATATTATGGAGTCTCTAAAATTTTGTTTTTAAATTTAACATTAAGGCAGGTAAGTGTGTTTAATATGTCAGGTGTTGTGTTCACATGTATGCCAGCATGTGCATATTGCATTTCTCAGTTCTTCACTTTTGTTTTGTTAGACCTTGGCCTAAAGCATTGCCGGAGTAACATGACACATATAGCTAGTGAAATTTCTTAATAACAATGAAGTTAGCTACACAGCATGGAGTTCCCATTTTACGATCTGCGTTGATATAGATTTCCACATGTTGCAAAGCTCATTGGTGGGAAGTTGTCCAAATTTTTACGTCAAAATTTGGAGGCAGAGGGAATCTTTTTCTCCAGATCTACAGCTCATGTTCTTTTGGGGATTTTAGAAGGCATGATTTGCAACAGCTTTCTAAAGTATTTTGGATTTCCTTTTTGTATCTTATATGATGAAATAAGGTCTTGTTTTTGGTCCGTCTTACGCTATAGTGATTATGTTTTGGGCTCTTTTAAGCTTTACAGTGTGTCTTGGTGCAATCAGTGCTGATGTAGGTATGATAAACTTTTTTCCTTTAAAACCTTCAGTGTGTGTGCCTGGATATTCTGAGGCTTTAATCTTGTGGGCTGAAACTTTTTATGCTTGACACTTACCTTCGAGTTAAATTTTTTCAAATAAAATTAGAGTAAAACTTTGAGTCGCTAGAAAGGTGAAAAAGCTATTTCAACAATAGCATAGTTTAATGTAGTTGGAGAAAAGCTTTTCAAGTGTCACTTTTGACATTGACCTGTGATCTTCATAAATCTTATTTACATGATGAAATAGGGCATTCAATATAATTGGGTACAATGGAGTTTATTGATGGAATGCTGACTATACTTCAAGGAGCAACATATACCAGGACAGTACTGTTCAGTGTTGCATGAGTTAACTTAGACTTAAGCAGTGGGAGGAGAAGGTGAGCAGAATGCAAAGTGAATAACTTTCTGCAAAATCATCTCTTCCTATCAGGATGTCTGGAGACGTTGGCTAGTAAGAGTGATTAAAATCATGAAATGGCTGCAAGACTAGGATGCACTAGGGAAGTCTTTAGTGCTTGTAATAGAAAATTTCACACAACACAGCCATGCACTAGTTCTGATTGTCCTATAAAAAACCTGAAGATAGTTGAGAGAGAAGAACACTAGATTAAAAAGCTGTGATGGGTCTCAAAATCAGAAAAAGGCATTGCAAGTGTTGTAGTTTCCAGCAGAAGGGATGTCTTAGATGAAAAGGTTAACTAGTGCTTTGGTTACCAGTTCTAGGAGATAGAACTTCTGATACTTGATATTTAGATCCACGGCAAGGATGAGAATATGTGCTCATATTTGTCCTCTGATCTCCTTTCTGTGGTATTGTGGCTTTTGCTGGGATGAACCCCAGAGTAATGAGATCATTTAGGATGGTTGGTCTTTGATTAGAGGTTGTTGTACTGTTCTGCCAATTTAGGGCAAGATATGAAGGGTATGGTATCAAATGTAACCAAAAGAGCAGTCCATGAGGAACTGGAGACTAGTATTTCTGCTATTCTGTGGGAGACTTCTTTTGGTCACAGAATTAGGAAGTTTTCAGAATCCTTCAGGGCTTGTTTGAGAAACAAATTTTACAAATCCTCAGAGGGAATTAAGCATCTGCTTGATACTTGAATTGATCAGAGATGGCTTCGTCTTTCCTGTGGAATCTAATAAAGCTTGGAAGTAACATCTTTCATGCTTATATGATGACAATGACAGAAATTGAGAGATTAATTGTGCATCCCTTATTTCTGAATAAATAGTTTAAGTGAACATAACGGATAACAACTTATAATGCTTCATTGTTCAGTTCAGAACTGCACTGGAAAACTTTGTTACTTCAAGAGTTGTCTCTTTAGCCCTTAAATAGTGCTGTGGACACACAGATCCTTCACAAATAAAGGGCAGTTTTTTCCCCTCTTCCTTATGTTGCTTAGCATTTAGAGATAACGAACAAATAGAGATTCTAAGCTCCTGTAGAAATATCTTCAAGAAGCTGTATGCAGAGAAATTCCAAGTCAGTAGAAATTACAATAGAAAGAAGCCCTTTGAGGTCATACTTTAAGAAAGAACCTGGAAGGAAGGAAGAGAAGGATGCTTGGCATCACAGACACAACCAACTACTTTCATATAAGACCAAGAATGTAGTTAAGTGTGAAAATGAGACTGGAAAGACATGGAATAAGAGTAGAGGTTATTTGTAGAGTAATTTTCTTCTTTTTCCCAGTTCAGTTTCGCTAGAATATAGCAGTTGGCTGAGGCAGGGATTGTCCAATGCACACATATAAGGAACATGAATCTGATGCTATCAGCTAGAGGGCCAACAGAAGCATTCAGTTCAAAGCTTCTAGCTGCCTTTAGTTTCCTAAAACTTGATTAGGAGAGGTAGTGATCAAAATCTTAATCGAAAAAATGAGTGTTAATCCACATAAGCAGTGGCTGTAGCCAAGTGAGAGCTGAAAAGATATAGACTCTCTAAATAGTTAAGAGGAATAAATGACAAGAGGAAAGTAGAGAATGAGGAGATACGGTGGTGAAAAATTGGCAGAGGAACGGAAAGGAAAGAAAGGTTTGGTTTTGTTTCACTGTGTAGAGACAATTTGTTTCTGTGGTTGGTATAACGTAGCTGCATATTGATCCGGAAGGCTAATTGTCTCTGAGTGCCGCCTTGGTTTCACTGATGTCTGCGGACATGTCGAAGGTTTTCAGGAAGGCTATGAATTTACTGTATGTAAGTTTTAGGTGTCTATTTGGGACACACTTGCATTGGGGTCTGATATTAAAGTGATTGCTGTACTGCTGGAAAGATTGTTGGAGCTTAGTCATGACTCTTTATTTGGAGATTCTCCAGACCCAGCACCCTCACCTGTGAAAGCTATTATGTAGCTGTTCATAATTAATGGTGTTTTATTGCTCTAGAACTGCCTAAAATTCATCATGGCAGTCCTCTACATCGGAATAGTCTTGCTTTTTTTTTTGTCTCCACCTGCTGGTACCTGGCAGAGACATGTACATGACATTTGTAGGTTAGAAAATATTATTCTAAATGAGTGTTTTATGTCTCTAATTTAAAGATAAAATCAGCCATTTGTAAAAACAGTATTTTATATATATTTTTATAAACTTTTATAGTTTTTGTAAACTTGTAGCATATCTTCAATGTTTTTCACTTGTACGATAAGATTACTAGAATTATATAATTCTTTATCTCTGGTTTATTTTGAGGAAATGGTACTGTAGCTAGTATGTTTTTACAGGAAGCAGTAATACATCAATGAGATATTGACTTATGTCACTTTGCAAAAGAGAGATGAAGTCATTAAAATACTTTAAAATGCTCTTAATACCAGTGTTTTCTTTGTACGTTTTCCACCTTTGGTCCTCTGTGTTGTGCGGCAACACGGCATTTATTTTTTTGGCCCCTGTAGCAAATGTGTCAAGTAACTGTCATAAGTGCTCTGCACCAGAAGTCTGAAACAACTGCCTTAAGTTTTTGTAAGTTCTCAAACTGCTGGCATTTTTGTAAAGTGCAAGTGAGATATATGGTATTAAACGTACTCTTTCAGGGAGAGAGATCAGAAAACTCTTACCAAAGATTTGAATGTCAGTTGCTTATGATTTTTTATGAATTGTTTTTGTCTTTAAAGTACAACATATCAGCATATTTTGGTTTTCTATTTCAGAAATAGCCTTTGAAGGCTGGAGGATTTGAGTATGCGTATCTGAGAGCCTGAGTTCTAATACCTTAGCACTGTAAAAATAACAGATGTTGAAATAGTGTAAATTAATGGTAGCTGTGCTGGGCAGATATCTTAAATTTGTTACCATTTTTTTTCAAGCTAGAACTGAGACAATTAGTGCTTCTGATATGATGCTGTTTATTACTTAAGTGTTGTATGCATGTATAAATACTGTGGCTGTGAAAAGTTATCCTGTAATGATTTGTAGCTTATCTTCCTATGGACTTGCAGTGTATCAGTTAGCCACTTGTTTGCAGGTAACTAAGTGAAAAAAATTGCCTTCTGTGCTTCCCCCCTCTTAATTCTATTTTGCAAATATATGACTGGATTTGCAAGAGAAAAGAAATGTAAAAGTTTCCTCCTTGACTATAATCGTGGCTCTTCATCAGTCATCACTCTTCCTGCATTTTGTTCAAGAGGCTCTAATTGTCTGCGTTTGGCAGGTTTAACACTTCCTGACAGAGAGGCTATTAAGGGGAAGTATTCTCGCATAACTGTCACAGGCAGGAACAAAGAACCTTCAAACTCAATGTGTGGAAACCACTAACATTCTTAAATGACCCTTTTCATGCATTTTTATCCCTTTAAGCTAAAATTTGGAGGGTACAGGGTCACGGAAAGCAGCAAGGTGTAATAAAACAGTAAACCCTGATTTTTTGGGGGGAGTTTTTTTTTTTTGCTAGATTTATCTCTGACTTAAAAACAATTGTTACTTGGAAAAATCTCATTAACAGATGTGACTGGAGTAAAAAGACTTAAAACTGATGTTGCTTTCAGGACTGCTTTGAACTTAACAAGCACCGATTTGTGGAGCAGACTAGCTAATGAAAGGAAATTAAATTTTCTGACAACTTCCCCTGCTAGCCCCCTTATTCTTCATGGGGCTGTTACTAGGTACTGAAGACTTTTAAAGAGGATTTTGTTTTATTATCAGACATAAATGAACCAGGTATGAACATTTCTTATGTATTTTTTTTAAAGTTCTGACCTGGGTGCTTTTAAAAACGGATTGCCTTGAAAGCTTTAAAAATATCAGGTTTCATTTTAATGTTCATAAGTCAGCCCCTATAGCTTCAGACGCAGTTAGCAGCTGGTGGTTTCCAGACATTACTGCCTTCCATACAAATTTTTTAATGTATGTCACCGAATAGTATAAATATTAGCAAATTTGGATGGAATTTTTAAAGTTAACCCATGCCACTGTTTAACCTTTTTACTTTTTAGTATTGTATTCCTTTGAAAGAAGCAGAACTAACTACTGCAGGAGAAAAGATTTGGTTATTAAAACATGAAAAGTTCAAGTACTTCATGTTTTAATCTATGAATTCCCTGGAAACTTTTTTCTGTATTCTGTTTTCTGTTCCATGGTTGTAGTGACGTGAGTCAGCTGAAGCAATAGGTGGCAACAACAAAAGAATTTTTCTAATTGCCACACAGTAGTGTCTGCAAACTTTGTGGAAACTGTATGTGAATCTTTTCATTTCAGGTAACGTTGCGTTTAAAATGATGTATTTAATTTGTTTTGTCTGTAGGCTAAAAAAGGAATGTAAGTGAAATGATTGTGCATTTTTCTTGAGTAGAAAGGTTTCTTTAAAGATGAAGTTCCACAAGATTTCTTCTGAAATCTGAATCGTTCCCAAACAATAGAGAATCAACTCCCCCTACTGACAACAGCCAGGAAAACATGACACATACCTGAGAAGACAGAAACAAGCTGGCAGTGGACAAGCTTTAACGATCTGATTTATGGCCCATTATTGATTGTAAACTTCTAAATTCTAGCATTAAATTCCTATGACTGCAGAAAATCATTTTGTGATCCTGGCTGTGTTTCCTGTCAGCTGATTCCTCCTTGCTTTGAGTTTCTCAGTATAATAATGATGAGGTAGAATTTACATTCCACTTATGGTATTAATTTTACATTCCTCTGGCTGAAAAGGGTCAGAAGGTTGTAAAATCAAACATTAAATGAATCAGAGGAGACAGTAGTGCAATATATGACTGCCCTCAGGACATAGTGCAATGGCTGATGGGATTAACGTTGGGTCTCATTTCCTGCTTTTACAGGATGCAGATGAAGCTGTCAGAATTGCAAGGGAAATTGGTAAGTTCTTAAATTAGCTATGGTGGGATTTGTGTGCCTCTCAGCAGACATGGTTGACTAAATTGAATGTGTAATAAGTAATCCCTATAGAACAAATAATGTTTTAATAGTTTTTAAGTTCCCTGTTGCCTATAGGGCTGGAAGATTGTAGGTATTAACACCCTGTCTCTTAAGTCATCGCATTTTAACTCAACAAGCTGAGCTTTAGAGAACAAGTGCAGCCATGATTTGCAAAATGCATACAAGATACAGTAGTCAGTGGCTAACTAAAGGAGGAATTTTTTCAAAGGATACCTGCAATTGGACAAGGTGTTTTTACAGAAGTTAAGCCTGGCGCATTTCTTTTCATGTGGGAGCTGCTAACACCAATGATGTTATGATCTTCATTCTTCATCACTGTTGTGGGCTGCAGTTAGCTTGATTGAATATCATCCAGACCACCAACCTTTCTTCTGTTCCAACCTTTCCTGCAATAAAATCACTATTCAGTTTCTGAATATCTTACAGAATGGTGAAAAGAGCAACCAGCAAACTGCCTGGGGCTTATTTTGATGAAGGTTAAGTGTAATATGTTTAATGGGTTTTGGCTTTTGTCTATCAAGGCTTAATATTAGGGAAAATATTTAATTTTGTGCTTAGTTACATGTTCTTAAATCCTTTCTAGAAGGAGTGTCTCATGCAATAAGGAATTTTTCTTGTTTTTGACTTTTTGTTTTATGAGACAGTAGCCATGAAGATCTCTTAGGATGGTCATAGTTGTATGGTTCTAAGGATTTATCGACATATGAAGCCTCCCCTGTTGATCTAGCTACTCAGAGCCCCCACTACAAATGCATCTTAGCTGTGCCAAAAGCCTGAGGCCCATGCCTTGTGCCAAATAGAAACTGGGACTTGCCCTGTTCCAGGTGACTTTTTATGTCAGTGTAGCTTTTTTCCACTTTGAATTTAAGTTGGGGCTCTTACCTTGTGCTGGTGTTTACTGCACTGAAACCTTCCACTGTAGCCTTGACTGGTTCTTAGGATGACACAGCTGAAGTCAGTGTTTCTGTGGGTTAGTCCCTGTTGAGAAAGCAGGCAATCACTGGTATTCAAACAGAAACAAAAGGGAGAAGTTATCAGTCAAAGTAGAACCCTAGGAGAAATGGTAAATTCAAATTGTTTTTAGGGCTTAAGACAAGGCATACACAGTGTTCATGACAGTTCCATTTCTAAGGTCTTTTCTTGCTGTCGATTTTTTTTTAAAGATTTCCTGCAAGTATTTTTAAGCTGACTGTTTTGATTAGTATAAGTAGGAAAGCACTCAGTGACTTCCTCAGACACCTTTTAAAATTTACTCTTGCTTAGTTTTCTTCTTAGTTCTTCTGGTGTTCTGTTGACCAGTTCCTGTCTTTGATATCAGCAGCACTTTGGAGGTCATTATATAAAGTCAGTCTTAAATCTGCAGATATTAAAGCCAATTACAGACAGCTGGGTGGTGTTTTTTCCTGAGATGACAGGTTCTTAAGCTATTTGCATGCAAAACTTTGCAGTAGGATGCAAAGTATTAAAAAAGTCCTCTCTAGCTTTTCCCCTACGTTTTGACCAATTGATCAGTTCAATCAAGCTGCTGTCTAATCAGCAGCACTGTTTAAATGGAGGTACAGTGCATTCAGAATACAAACTAATCACCTGTGATTTCAAAGGACCTAAAACAGAGTGAAATTTAAGTCTCTTATGTACACAGTGTGCTTGTCCTCTCACATACAAGGCACTTGATATGTGATTGGATACTTTCAGGTTACTTTTAGTTATCTAGAGTCTAACTTTTCCAAGAATACTTAAATGGTTATAGAAAAAAATTCAGTGTGGGTCAGTGTTTAAAATTGTAAAACATTGCATAATATTCCTTCACTGCCTTTGTTTTTCCTGCTCCTCCCTGCTATGTTCTGGCCAAAGGTTTGGTAGCAGTGGAGCACGGTGCTTCAGGGTTGAGATACTGCCTAGAAGTGCTTCAGTGAAGACTATCTAGAGACAGAAGTTTTACAAGCATGAGAGTTAAACTACCTTTTCCTCATTTAATTTGCTCTCTCCTGAGTTGGCAAGAGGGAGTGGTATAGAGATACTAGGCTAAATCAGGAATTGGAAGCAGGTTAGGCACAAATGGCTATATAGGCTCCTTTTTGATAGTCTCTCTTCTCATTTGTGAGAACTGTTCTTCTCTTGTCTTTTCCGTAGTGTTTAATCACATCGGCTCTTTGGCTATGTTACTTTTAAGTCCATTTGTAAGTTATATGTTAAGAACTGCTATAATCCTGCTTTCTGAAGCATGGACGAGACCCAGAAAGTATTTCTTTTCAGATTGTTGTCTGAATGAATTGAGCAACTGTGAAGTGAAGGCACTATAAGTGAAAGTCTGTGCCAAACTAAATAGGTGAAAAACATGTTTTTGTCATGCTTCATTTGGCCTATGGGTTTAGCTGATACTAGTTCTTTTAATAAGGAATATTGAAAAGAATCTGCTAGTGCTGGATCAATGCACTCTATGGTCAACTACCTGCAACTTTATAAAAATGGCTTAACATCTGAAAACAATGCAATGGTTAAGGGCAAGAACTAAAAGCTGTGGGATACCAGAAATCTGTTTATTCCTTTTACTGTTCAAATTCAGTTACCACCCTGAAATCAAAACAGTCTAACTTAATAGCATTTATGTAACAGCGAATGTTTGTCAGATGATCTTCAAATCTGGCAGATGTGTGCCATCCTACCATTTGAGTTCATGTTCGACCCATGCTCTCATGTTGCAGATGCTTCAGGAAAAGCTATTGAATTATGGAACAAGAGTTAGGTTTATTCCTACATGCAATTTTAGTCTCAGGTAAATTGATGCCTAATTGGAGGGAAGAATTGAAAACCTAATACCTACTCAGAAAAAGAAATTGCCTGCTTTGTGAAGCTATTCACTGCTACTGTCATCAGTCATTCTCATAAATGCTATTAGTTTTATATGTTTGCATGCCTCTCCCTGCAACTAATCCAACCAATCCATGTGAGTATTTCAGGGATTCTGATTGCTGCTGAAGAGTGCAGAAGTGGTCAGGCGGATGGCAACTAGTCCCTCCTCATATCAGCATCCTGTATCCAATACATATGCAAAGCTACTTAGATTGTACAAGGACTTCCCCTCATCTTAGGATAGAGCGGTCCTCAGTACTGGCTATAGAATTGCTATTTTTAGCCTGGGTCAGTGCCTCAAAGAACAGTGTATGAAGTCATATTTGGGCAAAGCGAAAGTACCCTTACTTTAGGATGCCAAACAGCCATCCTCCCAAATTTGTAAAAGCCTGCTAAAAATTCTTTTTTGCTCTTATCCCCAAAAGCTATGTGTTTCTTTTCAAAACAGGCCTTGTGTTGATTTTTTTTGTCTGCTTTTTTAACAGTACTGTAGCTGTATGGAGTCTTACGTATAAGTATGATTGGCAGGTAATCAGTATACATAAAGCTGTGGAAAAAGTGTTCCAAAACTTGGTGAGTAATACCAGTAAGCCAGCTCTCTCATGTATCCTGTCTTATGACTTAACCAAGCGAGCTGGGATATATAAGCTTTTATGTTCTGTAAAGACTCACTAAGGCTCACTGCTAGCACTCCTGTTTTATTTCTGAAATGAGGAACAGTAAATTAGAACTAGACTCTACTTACAGAAGTAAAATCAGAGAGCCATTCAAGAGACTAATATATTGGACTGAAATTGTTAGCTTCATTGATAAGAATTTTTCAAGTTCTTGTGCCATTGAATAAGATTAGTGGGAAATTGCCACAGTGAATTTGTCGCAATGAGACTTAAAACTATGATCGTACCCATAGTTGTACCTAGTAACTAGAGATTACTTTAGACTTTGAAGCATGAAGTTTTATAGCCTTTTTACCCCCACTATCTATAGGAACTTGAGATTTATGCTATGCATTTGCTTATCTGTTACCTTTCTACACTTCTAAGCCACAGGAATGCTGCAGCATGGGATTCTGTAGCCTAATGACATGTTAGGGGGAAAACTGCTTTATTGCTGTTTCTTTATTAACTTAAAGCTTTCTTGCACTTCTTTCCTGCCTTCCCACTAACATTGCTCTATTTGTTATGCTTGTATCATGCCCCTTTTGTGCATGTCCACTTCAGCTGTCTTAAGTAGAAGACTTTCGAGATCGTGTGTGTGTATTGTTTTTTTGGTTTGATCTTGTTTTGATTCTGCTTGTTTTTTTTAATCGTCTTTTCCTGAACATCCTTTCAGTCAAATGCATTTGCGGAGGAGCTGGGGGGAATGTGTCACTTTTAGCCAACAGAATAAGACCCACATTGCAGAAAGAAATGTGAACTTGAGTTACGCATATCATAGCAGGCTTGACAGTTTCTATTATGAGATGTATTCAGGTGTCTCCTTTTGTCCCAAGATCAGTCTTTTATAGGGAGGTATCTTAACTTTGCGAGAACTGACTGATTTTTCTTGCCAGAGAATGTTGGCTGATCTAATGTTTTTTTTTTAATGTTATGATTTCCGTTAAATGTGCTGGAGACCAAAGGCACGAAGAATTTTTATGCTGTCCTAGAAACATCACAAAAACTTTCTAATCAGATCCTTAACTTCTAGGTTGTGATAGATTGATGTGGGAGAAAAGTAAAATGCGCTGATAAGAATTGTTTTAGGAAATTGTTTTGAATTGGTGTTCTATTACAAGATACATGTAATATTAAATCTACTTTAAAATTCTATACTTTGTTACCATACTCTTTTTAGCTTTCAGAAAATGAAGGACTTGATTCTATTTAATTCCAAAAATAAAATATTGCCGCTTACATGCAGTGTTGTCAGATTATGCTGCTCATTTTTTTCTTAAATTTTTTTCCTTGCATCTTGTCAGTTTGGGAAAAATGCTTTATTTTAATCTTCAGTTTGTAATGATTATCTGTTTGCTTTGATTCTTACTCATCATTGCTTAGTACCTGAGCAGCAAAGCTCTTTGGAGATGCTCCGTTATTTTAAAATCTACTGCTGTATTGACCCGAAAAGGTGAATAAGTACAGGATTACTGAATCTCTTGACCAATAGTTTATGAAGATCTGCTGCTGCTTCTTGGTAATAAAATATATTTTTTAATTTTATTACAGCAATAGTTTAGTAACAAAAATTTTGTTCCTTTTCCACTACTAAAAGAAAGTGAAGTTAAAAGTCAAATGCTTTTATTCATAAATCATTTTGTTACTTGGGAATAATTAATTCAGTGTTTTTCTTCTATAAATGAAATAGAAAAGACAACCTTTTCTTGGCTTCAGAAATCACTGTGCTGACAGCTAAGTGTTGAAAAGAAAAAAATCTCTCCTTCAAAACAAATAGCATTTTAATAAACCAAGTTATTGTCTACTGGCATTATTGGACATGTGGTCAGTTGTCATGTTCCTATGACCAACTGATCAAAGTTTGAACTTCTGTCTAATTGTTCCCCGCTGTTAGGCTACCCTGTCATGATCAAGGCCTCAGCAGGTGGTGGTGGGAAAGGCATGAGAATCGCTTGGGATGATGAAGAGACCAGGTGAGATGCTGTCCAAAAGCTTGCCTTGATGAATGCTGCAGTTACCAAAGTCCCATTAAGCCACTGTGAGCTGACAGTTGAGCAGATATCAAATGTTAAACGGAAACTGGATAGTATCTGTTTTTCTCCCTTTGGTATAGTGTGCAATATACTTCTGTTTGCATGTGTGTATATAAAATTAAGCTTTGTGTAAAACTTACAAAACACCACAGTTCATTGTTTTGGGTACAAACCCTACAACTGCCTTTAGTCCAATGACTGTAAATTCATACTGTAAACAATATTTTATTGTTTGCATTTCAGAATGTTGATGTGTAAATTGTCTGTGCGTTTAGTGGACTAAACCACTTGGCCATGACTCTCAAACACTAATTTTTGAACAAGAAAACTAGTTCTGTTAAAGTTGATGGGACTGATTATTCATGTGTGGAAATACATATAAAGTGTTTCCAGCATGTGCTCCAATAAATGGCGTACTTCAGTGTTTAACATATTTGTCTCAGCAAACTATTGTGCATTTGCCTGTTCGAAAGGGAGTATTTGTTTAAACACACAAATTTTCACCTCTTTTAATGGTGTGTCTGAATGCCAAACCCTGCCAGATACTTGTTGAGTGGAGTTGTTTTGGAATCTGTTCTTTTCTGATATTCTGGCAGTGAGCTGTTTAGTTACAAGCTCTTACACCAATGATGTTACAGGAAAATGCATTTTGGGATTTTTCAGTGATTTGTAACAAAAAGTGTACTTGAGATCTAAAATTGGATAACTTTCTTAGAAATATTTTCCTTCCCATGTGAATGAGAGCACACATGTCTGGAACTAACTCAAAGTATGAATCTTTTTCATTAGCTTAAATGTTAGTCACGACTATTTTTTGTCATATTTTTGTTTCATGTATTAAATTTATTTAAAATCTCAACCTAAAAGCTGCAAGGAAGAACAAAATGAATGACTAGCAGTTAAACTTTAGATTTGAATAGAACTTGTGTACTTTGCTACCTCTAGCCTCCTTATATTCAACTCTAAATAGGAAAATAAGGATTTGCGCATTAGAATGAGGATCTAGAATAACCTACTTTCTTACAAGGATGCTTTATTCCTGCTGCTTTGGAAGCCAAAATTACTCCCTTGATCTTATTCAGTCAGCAAGTACATCTGTTGAACTTGAAAGGAAGGCATTCATTTCTTGTTTTGCTCAAACTGTCAGAGTTTGATTAAAGTAACTCTCTAAAAATTGAAAACTCAGACTGCAATGATTGTTAATTTGTTTTGAAGAAGTTATGGTTATTGTTTTGACCAGAAAGTCACCTGATAGAAATGATTGTCAGTAGGAACCAACTAGGGATGTTATTTTGGTACGCTTAACAATTACTTTGATTCATATTAGAGATGTTTGCCTTCTTTGTGGAAAGCCTCTGAAATATTCTGTTTCTTAGTATTTGCCAGTGGTGCCCTCTTAATAATCCTCTTAGTTATATTAGTCTTGTTTTTGCAATAAGTTTAAAGAATAATTTCCAAGAAGCGGTAAGAGAAAGAAAACCGAGATTCATTGAGTCATAGATTAACAGTAGTTACTAACCTTGTTTCAGAAAGTGCTTGTTTTAAAACTTGCAGGCAGTGATGAAATCAAAATTCAGTAGGCAAAGTATTTGTTGCAGGAAGGTAAAATGAGATTAAGAGAACTGAAGATAGGTCTACTTCCCATTTAAATGTGAAACAGCGTTTTGGTGCTTCTTATAGTCTGTCTTGAAAAAATGTGTATGAAGTGAAAGATTTTTGTTGTATATGCCCATTTTCTGTGTTACGGAATTAAAATTTTTTCCCTCTGTCTTGAAGGTGATTTAACTTGTTACTGACAAAAAAAATCTGATAATTTTCGTATCATATGAAGAGAGTTGTTGGTCTCAAGTCTTTTCTTGCTGCATCCAAGTCCATGTAATTTTAAAAATAAGCTGGTTTTCAGCTATTGGTAGATGCTGTGGAGAAGCTAGCACCTGAATGACCTTCTAATTTTTAGCGGTCATACCTGCAAGATGTTTCTGAGAACTGTGGATAAAATTTGATTTGCAAAATTGTTTTGATTTTACCCTATGAGATTGATTCCAAATGCTGTTGAAAAAATGCTTTATATAGAAATCATTTTGTTGAAATGTGTTTTTGAATTTTCAGAATAGTCAAAGCATGGGAAATTGCTCTTTTCTTAAAACTGGTTATGCATAATATTAAAAACCTTTATATGATGGTGTTACATGGCAAATAATATGTTATGCAGCAATAGACATTGAAAATGGGAAAGATCTATCTGAATGACTGAATGACTGAATTCCTGCTGTTATGGAATTATTCTCTACGGTAACTTATTAGTGCTTCATTCTTTGCACCTCTTAAATATCCTAAGTGAAGAAACTTTCATTAGTTCCTTCTAGATATTATGATATATCCAAAGTTTCTGCCAATTCCATTTAGTATTTCTATTTGGAAATACTAGAGTACTCCTTTACCATTGCTGTAACTTTATTGGAAATTGTTTTTCGTGTGTGTGATTGTTGAAGATTGCCGTGTTTCCATTTCTCTGCTATCTGGGTATGGCTGCTGTTGTATGTCTTCAGATATGAATACCTTGAACTCTCATTTCTATTGCTTTTTTCCAAATTTATGTCAAGAGCTAGTGGGGAATTTTGTGTGCAGTTCAAGCTGCTAACCCAGATCTGAAATTAAAACAATCTCCTCTTCACCATGATTGAAGTTGTAGTCAGTTATTTTGGTTTAGATAACTTGAGTTTAGGATATGCTATTTTCACATAATAGATACAACATCAAGTGGGTATTGAAAAAGAAACACAGATGTCTGAAAAGCAGCTTATATTGAATTTAGGCTTCTAGATTTTTAACAGCTGGGAAACTGCAATGGCTGAAGTTCTGCTACTGTATATAGCTAATGGTACTCCTGTCTTGGCATTGTTGATCATCTCAGCTCTGGTCTCGTATACAAAGAGACTCTGTGCTTGCATTCCAGAGGTACCAGTCCCAAAGCACTTTCCAAATATAGGCAACCTTAAGCTCAGTGCAAGGTACACCAAAACATAACTGGAGGATGGGAGTCTGAATCTGTTTTCTGTATCCTTCCTTTCTTTTTACTGATTGTGGAGAAATTGAATTGCTTTCAGGGTAACACTTGCACCTGTAACTAAGTCTTAGGTTTCATGGCTTCAAATAGTCTACTGCAAGCTCTGAAGAGGAATTCACTTGGAGATCATCTCTAAAGAGCTGATGATTTGATTTCTTGAGGGGAAAATCAAATATTTGAGACTGGATCTCTGCATGCAAAGATCCTTACTAGCTTGTAGGTTCAGTGTAGGAGGTCACTGTTCAGGAAATATTGACCCTGGTTTTTAGTAGTTTGAGCTGCAAGCATAATCTCAGAGTTGGAAATTTATACTGAATTTTCTTCTAAAAATTCAGTTTTGAGAAATTTGGAGCTTTGTGGGCCAAATTTATTTTCCCTGGATATTGAAACCTTGCATGCTGCTTATGTCTCTGAAAATTTTCAACGAGGCACCTTCCAGGAACAGGTATTTAGATCAATGATTTTACCTTTTAGCTTGTAACAGGAAAATAAGTATCCCTGTAACTTAAATGCTCTTCTTCAGAGCCCTTGCCAGTTTATAAATTTAAAAGTCAAACATTTGCTTTCAGAACTTCCAAGAGCCTCTGTCACTTCTATTCTGTGGTCCTATGCTACTATGTTGTGTTTACGTGTGCTGTTCCACAGTTGTTGCTGTTCATTGGATTGGTACCATAAGATGTGTGGGAGGACTACTAGCAAAGTTTTTTTTCCACAGAATCACACAATGATTGAGGTTGGAAGGGACCTCTGGAGATCATCCAGTCCAACCCCTCTGCTCAAGCAGGGTCCTCTAGAGCACATTGCACAGGATTTCGTCCAGGCAAGTTTGGAATATCTCTAGAGGAGGAGACTCCACAATCTCTCTGGGCAACCTGTTCCAGTGCTCAGTCACCCTCACAGGAAAGAAGTTTTTCTTTGCATTCAGATGGAACTTCCTGTGTTTCAGTTTATGCTTGTTGCCTCTTGTCCTGTCACTGGGCACCATGGAGAAGAGTCTGGCCCCATCCTCTCGACCCCCTCCCTTCAGATACTTGTACACATTGATGGGATCCTTCCTCAGCCTTCTCTTCTCCAGGCTGAACAGGCCCAGCTCTCGCAGCCTTTCTTCATAGGAGAGATGCTCCAGTCCCTTCATCAACTTAGCAGCCCTTCACTGGATTCGCTCCAGGAGTGCCATGTCTCTCTTGTCCTGGGGAGCCCAGAACTGGACACAGGACTCCAAATGCAGCCTCCCCAGGGCTGAGGAGAGGGGGAGGATCACCTCCCTCGACCTGCTGGCAACACTCTTCCTCATGCAACCCAGGATACCATTGGCCTTCTTGACCATGAGGGCACATTGCTGGCTCTTGGTCAACTTGTTGTCCACCAGGACTCCCATGGACTTCTCCACAGAGCTGCTCTCCAGCAGGTCAGCCCCCAGCCTGCACTGGGGCATGGGGTTATTCCTCCCTAGGTGCAGGACCCTGCACTTGCCTTGGTTGAACTTCATGAGGTTCCTCTCTGCCTCTCTCTCCAGCCTGTTGAGGTCCCTCTGAAGGGTAGCACTGTGTTGTGGTGCATCAGTGACTCCCCCCAGTTTAGTGTCATCAGCAAACTTGCTGGGGGTGCACTCTGTGCCTTCCTCCAGGTCACTGATGAATACATTGAATAGATTGGACCCAGTATTGACCCCTGGAGGACACCGCCAGCTACAGACCTCCAGCTAGACTCTGCACTTCTGACCACAAATCTCTGAGCTCTGCAGCATTCAGCTATTTCTCAATCCACCTCACCGTCCACTCATCCCACCTATGCTTCCCGAGTTCACCTATGAGGAGTGATGGGAGACAGTGTCAAAAGCCTTGCTGAAGTCTAGGTGGACAACATCCACTGCTCTCCCCTCATCCTCATGGAAGGCTATCATGTTGGTCAAGCATGCTTTCCCTTTGGTGAATCCATGCTGACTACTCCTGATCACCTTCTTGTCCTCCAAAAGGACTTTTGTTCAAGTCCTGTCTACCATTGTCTTCTGCAGTTTACCACCTTCCTTTAGAAACATCTGTTGAAGCTTTGTCTCTGTAATCTTCCAACAGGTCTGAAGGTATGAGCAGTAGAACTGGAAGAACTTAAGTGGAATAATACTTAACAGATAATTCTGAATTCCCCACCTCCTGAGGCAAGGAAATTTGTGAAAAGTTTGCAGGATGAGAAGACTGAGTTAAATTGAACACTGTTCCCTATTACAGACCTGAACCTTGAAATTTATTACTCTTCCAAAGTAGTTTATCTGGCCTGTCAGACTGCTCCACAGAAATGGGAGTGTGCGGACTTGATCTCTCCAGCACGGATGTGTGCTGTAGAAATATTGAGGTAAAGGGAAGAAGTGAACTGAGTGAGTGAAGGACGTTGGTCCTACTACCTGGGACCTGATTTTAAGTGGAAGTCTTTAATGGACCATCGCTTACAGCCTTTATGCTTTGTAACTCTGCCAAAAATAATGAAAGAGAATAACACTAAGGTAATTATTCCAGTGGTTGGTAGAGATATGTTCTTAAGGTATACTGAAGCCCTCAAAATATGGCAAGATCATAACTGTATAGCAGATCAGCATTTAATAGAAAACCAGAATTGAAAGCAGAAAGCTAACTGAATTGATAAAATTCTGTGTTACTGAAGAAACATGTAAACTCTTCAGTTACTTCTCATTTGTGATTCAAAAAAATAATTTGTGTGTGTACATATATATATACACACACATATTAAACAGGCCTCCTGGCCAACTATGTGCATAAACATGTATGTAAAATGCTGTGATTAGGTCATTTTAATTTTTTAAAATTTGGAGTCAAGATGAAGCAATGGTATTGTTTTTCTGTGTAAAATCAAACAACATTTTGAGTATTTATTTGTCACTTAACCCACTTACCAGTCACTTTTTTTAGAGCGATTCCATTGTACTAATGATCATCAGATATGTGTTTTTTGACTTGAAGGCCTTTCTAATTCTGGTCTTGATAGGAAAAGGCTGTATTTTTTTTTATTATTTCCTGATATTTGAAACTAAAATATTGAATGATGACTGCAGTTCCTCATTAGTGTCTGCCTCTAAAGAAAGTGGCTGCTTCAATTAAAGCAGCAAAGCTGAGCTTGGGGCTGGAGGCAGGGACTTGGCACAGACTGTCTCACTTCAGACAAGTGCAAGAAAACTTATGGCAGGATCAATAAATACTTCTGTACAGCTTATGCTTTGGTGTGAGTAGATGTACTGTATAGAGAGCAAGAACTTTTGAAGACGTCCTATTCTCCCGCTTCTAGCATCGTTCATGTTTGAAGGGACCTTGGGAAGTAATCTCATTCAGCTCCCTGCTTAGAGCAGGGTCAGCACTAAATTCAGGCATGGTTGCTTAGTGTTTTGTCCAGTCAGATCTTGAAAACCTCCAAGGACAGTGATTCCACAGACTCTCCAAACAGCCTGCCTCAGTTATCACAGGAAAAATTTCCCTTATATCTAGATGGACCTCCTCTGTTTCCATTTGTGACCAACTTCTCTTCTCCTGTTATGCACCTCACTGAAGAGCCTAGTTCCATTGTCTTGGTAGTGCCCTCCTTAAGCATTGTCGAGCTGCTGTTAGATCTCCCGTAAGCCTTCTCGTCTTGCAGTTAAACAAGACCAGTTTGCTCAGCCTTTCATGTTCTCCAACCCTCTGACTGTTGTCTTGGATCTCTGCTGTTTTCACTTCAGTATATCAGCATCATTTTAGTATAGGGAGAAGCCCAAAACTGGGTGCAGTATTCCAGATATGATCTGACAAATTCTGAGTAAAGGGGAATAATCACTGCTGTTCATCTCCTGGCTCTGCTGGATTTGATAAAGCCCAGTATGCTGTTAGCTTTCATCACTGTTAGGCTGCACTGCTGACTTGTATCACAGCCTCTGACCCACCAGGACCCTCAGGTCATCTTCAGCAGCCAGGCAGTTCCCCAGCCTGCAGGAGGTTAGTCTGTGCTAGGTACAGGACTTCCCATTTGTTTTTCTTGAAATTCATAAGGTTCCTGTCTGCCTATCCCTTCCAGTCTATCTTGCTCTCTGAAGCACAGCCCTGCCCTCAAGTATGTTGATGGCACTCCCCAATTTAGTGATGTTCACAGGTTAGAGATTGTACATTCCAGGTTATTGATAATGAGATTAAACTGATCCCAGAATAATATTCCAAAGGGGAAGTTCACTTGTAATTGGCTTCCAGGTGGAGAATGAGCTACCAGCCACTAGCATGAGCCCAATGATGCTGCCAGTTTTTCATCCATCTGGTTGTGCATTTATGTGGACTGTAGCATCCTAGTTTGGATACACTGTGGAACGTCACTAAGGGATTGCTGAAGTTGAGGCAGATGACATTCAATGTTCTGCTGTTATTCATAGATCTAGTTGTAGAAGCGTAGTACCCTTGGTAAATACATTTTGGTAAATCTAATCGGTTCTCAATCACTTTTTCTTGTGTGCCCAGAAACAGCTTCCAGGAGATCTTGCTCTGTGACTTTTCCTAGGAGCTATAGTGGAACTGACCAACCACTTGCTCTTTCCTGAGAAGAGATCCATGTATGTGAGATGATCTTTCACAGAAAGGGCAACCCTATTGCTGTGACTTTCCATCTATTGCAGCATTGCAGTTGGTGACCTGTCTTACCCATTCTTAGTTATTCCAAGGATGTTGCAGTTTTGTGTCTGCATGTGGGTTACAGCTTTTCCTGTTCGTTTCCCAGGCTGTGGTCATTTACAGCTGCTTGAGGTGGGCCCTTTTCAACTCTCCCCTAGTGCCTCTGGGTCTTGACCATGCACACCTCCCACTGGTGTGGTCCCACTGCCCCTGGGAACTGGTACTGGTGCTCCCTGTAGATGAAGCAGTCCTGCTGCTGCTTGGTGATGGGATAATGTTCCCAATACAAACTCTCTTCTAGCCTAACCCCCCCTTTTTTTTTTCTCTTATACTAACAAAGAGACCCAGACCATCTTGGTGTGATTGGTATGATCTCTTTTAGGAAAGATAAAGCGCAATTATGGTGACTTCATCACTGAGCAAATGCAGCTGCATGGATTTGTAAAATACAGATATAAACAAGGTCAATCCTTTACCAAGGCAGTCGTATTGATGTCTGTTGTATATAACTTTAAAAAGGTTTACAGATGCATGGATTAGATAATTAGGTGTAATGGCTTTTAACAAGCATTGCAGTTTGGATTTCTGATTAACACATAATTCAGTAAAGGAAGAATAATCAATTGAGCATAGTACTGTCTGATAGAACGTATACAATGTGAAACAAAACTTTTGATATCAGAGTTAAAATGGCTCTAAATCTGTTTCAGTAAGCACAAATATTGCATGTGGATGTTTGTTGCCTCACTTTGTCTCTTTTGGCCAGATCAGCTAGCGTACAGAATCGCAAATACTGATGTCCTTCAACCCCCTGAGAAAGAGTTTAATATATTGAGGTTAGATAGGAACTTCGAAAGATTACAACTGATTGCACGTTGAAAATGAGCACACTGAGAATCTCTCTTAAAATTAGAGCAAATAAAAATCCACAATTAAAAAAAGTGAAGAAACACTTTTAAATATATGTATTTCTGTATACTGTGAAATATTGGATTTACCTGTTCCTCAGTTCTGTAGTACAGATTTTGTTTTTGAAATTGAAGTAGATTCTAGAGATGGAAAGCTATGGAAACTTCAGCACTGTTCTGCCAATTCAGAGTACAAACATCAGGACAACTGTGTTCTAATAATTAATCTCACATGAATTTGCCACAGACTTTCCATATATATTAACATAATTGGGGCTAATATGCTATTTAAGGAGCCTGCAGAAAACTTGTGGGAAGCCTTTGAGTCTTGCACTATGGTAAGCTTCACCCTGTGAAAACTTTACGTAAAGTTGTTTTTCAGCAGCAGTTATGTCCTGAAGGAGTGACCTTTCTGCTAGGGAAAAGCAGTGAAACTAGTATTTTTCTAATCTTTGTTTGCTTGAGTAATTATGTATTTGAAAGAGAAAACGGAGGGAAGTATTTGGAACATGCAGTGTAAGTCTCAATTCTAGTTTTGGGGGAAAAACAGTAGTATAGCTGTATGTTATTAAGTGGAATACTGCATCTTTGGTTGTGTGTTCAAGGATTGAATTCACAAGATGAGCGGTGGTATATCTGTAGTGCTTTCATCTAATTAATGTGCAACTAGCCCTTACATTCTTGAGTGTTGAGGGATATATGCATGAAAAATAACAATGAGCTTCATCTTCCTTTTTGTATAATATGTATTTTACGATTTTTGTTTCTTTAGATCTGTTTACTGTATTATTTTTGTAAAGAAAATGCTAACAAAAAAAATTCCTGCAAATCATCTTCAATGCCCAAACCTTTTAAACACTTAAATTATCTCCCCTTTGCAAATGTATTTTTTTGTCTTTGTCAGCAAAGAAAGAAAAAATGGCATTTGTTAAAGAATCAGATGTAAGTGGTAGAAATTGTAGGTTTTGGAACTGTTTGACTAAAAAATGATAGATGATTGGAATGAGTTACAATGTTCCTTCTACTTGTGTGCTTCAAAACTTGACTTAATCATCAACTGATGTTAATATGGATTTATTCTTTCTCTTTTCATTATTTAAGAGAAGGTTTTAGGTTTTCGTCTCAAGAAGCTGCTTCAAGTTTTGGTGATGATCGCTTACTGATAGAGAAGTTCATTGATAACCCTCGTCACATAGAAATCCAGGTTTGTAGTAGTAGTATTTAGCTGATAGCATTTGAGCTGATAAAACACCTGTGGTTCAAAAAGTGGGCGTTACAGGCTACAAGGAAGATGGTGCATCTTAAGCGTGGCTTTGAAGTGCCTATGTATTACATCCTAAGGAGTTTCTCTTTTAGCAGAGCTCCTCTAGAAAACCGTCGTGTTTGTTCTGATAGCAACCTTGAGTGACGCTGGCCAGCACAATAAAAGGCTTCTGTGTTTACTTGGATGCCTTTAGCTTAATATATATGAATATGTGAACTAGACGTCTCATAATATAGTTCTTCTGCTTGTTCTTAGAAGATGGGATAAACTGTCTCTCTGTACGTTACTGAATCTTAAAAATTGACCTATCCTAACTTTTTCTTCTTTGCTCTTCTCACCTTTGCTATCTGTAAAACGTTGTTGGAGCACTCTTTGGGGTAAGGGTTCTGAACTCTTACCAAAGCCAAAGTGCTGCTGCTTTATTTGTCTAAGGGTTTTCTGTTGTTCCATCATTTATGATAGGCAAAATGTAGGAGGAGTGGATGGAAGGAGTTGGAGAAGTCTTTGCTGGTTTGGGATAGGGATGTATAGTGTTTCAAAACTGCATGCTTATGTATTCACTGTAGAGTCCTTTGAGCTAGCAAATGCATGTATATATATGCCTCTATAAAAATAGAGATTTTTAGATAGCTCTGTAGCAAAAAAATCCATTTGGATCTTTGGCCTGGGTGTCCTGCTAACGTGAACTGACGTAGAACTTTTCTGGTGAACACAGGCAATATTTCAGGCAAGTTTTACTGAATTTTCTTGTAAGAGTTTCCATCAAACTTAAAATTTTAAAACAAAACTTTTGGTTCGGTTGTATAATTGTATCAAAAGAAAAATTACAAAAATACATGAAATAGTATATTTTTGTCAAATGTAATTGTTCTTAAATTTTCCATAATTTCACTTAGACCTTCAACCAAGATCAAGAAAATCACAACACTACATTTATGTTACCGGTAATTAAAAACAGAATTTCTAATACTATGCATCTTAATACAACAGTAAAAGGCTCATGTTAGAGCTGCAATTTGTAAAGATAATCTTAGTCTTTTAAGCAGTAATGCATGATTTGTTTAATGTCAATGATATCAAATACATGAGGGATTTTTTTCCTGTGAAAGACAAGTTCAGTGATTGCCCGCCCGCCCTCAATTTTTGTTCATTTTGCGTCCTGTTTTAGAGGAGAACAGAAATGTGCATTAAGCAGCTGAAGTACAATTTAGGTTACTGTGGTGTCCTTCCCCACTTAGCCCTGTACTCGATGCATTTTATTAAGCAGTAGGGAATATTGTTTCAAACATGAAGCTAAAAAAGGCCTAGAATCTGTTTTGCTGTGTCTTGGGCCATTGCTCAAACTACATGGCTATCATACACAATACAGCCTTCCTGTTTGTATTCTCTAGCCTTTTATTTTTTTTCTTTTTTTTGCGGAAAGACAATGACCCCATGCTCAGTTCATTGAAAAACGTGGTTGTAGACATCTGTCCTGAGGGTTGAATTTTGGACTGTGGATCCAGAGTCAATGGAGCTCTGATTCCAGTGCCATAAGCACAGCGGAGGATGTAGGATTTCAAGCAATGTTGTGCTTTGTTTGTTTTTCTTGTAAATTCTATCTGGCTTGTAGATATTTTGGATTCTGTAGTGAAGCATCTAATGATCCTTATGAACTAGAGGCTTAGTACCACTTTTTGGGCAGTTTGTGATTAGAAATTAGGTGTAGTCTCCCTAACTTTTAGATTGTGATACTTATATCTTTTATTAGCTCTAGTGTTAAGCCAGATCTGCTTTCAGACAGATTCTTTAGCAAAATTGTAATTTTAAAATTTGGACATATTTGATCTTATGCAGGCAACTGAACTGTCTGCCAATAGCCTTGAATTAATCTTTTCTGACAAGAAATCTATAAGAAGTATATCAGTTTCCTCAACAGAAATTTCACTTATTTTTCTGTTCTAAGATGTCAACTCTTTCTAAGTTGTGGTATGTTTTCTTTTACAGTGAGAGCCTGAAGTAGTTTGACAGTAGCTCAATAACTTAATGAAAAAACAACAACAAAAAATTTGATAGTGTGGAATGATTTTTAAGAGAGAAATAGTTAATCTTTTTTATTCTGCTGGATATGTGCCCACTCAAACTTGATATACTTCCTATATTTTTATTTTAAATTTCCATTTAACATTTGCCTGTGCGCAGACTAACTTATAGCGTACATGGAATAAAGGAACAGAAATGTACAAATGAAATTTAAGCCTCCAGCTGTTCTCACCTTTGAAGGATCAAGGGAAGGTATGTAGTGAACACTAGGTTTCAGTATTCATCTTAGGTTACAAAAGAGGTCGATTTGCTGGAGCTTTTGTTACTGCATTTTCCTTATGACTAATAATTTTTGGATACCTACATTTTTATTTCTTCTCTCTCTCTCTCTGTCTCTCTCTCTCTTCCCGCCCCCCCCTTTTTTTTAATAGCTTCACACATCTTGAAGATGCATTCTTTCTTGGTGCTTGCAGCTTTGGGTTAACATTGCTGTACTGTACATAAAATTCGGTCAGGCTGCCATTAGCAGTAGAAGAGTCTGTTCAAGGAGACTGCAAAATAAATTTGGATATTCATTTTAATTTTTGAGACCTGACTTCAGGGAGCCGTTTTGAAAGTCAGCAGAATGGAAGCAAACGCATTCATGTGCTGAAGTACTGTCTTGTACAGAGATGGACTAAAGTATATGCTTTGGCTTGGTATTTGTTTGGTCTTAAAGTTAGCTTTTTGTTCTAAGTTAGTTTTCTAAGGTCCCTCCCTGGTCAGTGGAATGAGAGAGAGACCTGAGAGTTGTTCCTCCTGTCCTAGAAAATTGGGGATAAGTCGTTTTCTGAAGGTCCCTCTTTTTCTTTGTTTAGAGAGGGAGTTTAGACAATTTCCTAAGGCTTACTGGCTCTTAGATGAGATTTCTCCATACTTTGAGTTGGGGCCAGATTTTGCATTGTCTTAATTATTTCAGGTTTAAAAAAGGTTTTTAATTTAAATTAAGCACTACTGTATTTAATAACAATCAAATAATTTCACCTCGTTTAAATAGTATAGCCTTACCTTTAAGAATTTATGGTTTTATTTATAAGCGTACAATGAATCTTGTTTTCCTTACACAAATACTTTGATGGCACCTTTTAGCAGTACCACAGCGTATCGTTTTAACTTTATGCTCTAATCGGCTTTAGAGCATTGACCTTGGTTCATTTTCAAACTACTAAATATATAAACAATTTGAGACCAGATGCAAAATATTTATTAATTTAGCAGCAACTTTTAAATAGGACTTTTTTTAATGTTCTCATATAGCTCCAAAGCATTGGTGCTTAACATTGTTAAATAAGGGGTTTCCTGTGTCTAGCTATAAAACAATCACTTTGCTAAACATAAGAAAAGACTAAAACAATTAACAGGAAAAAAGAGTCCAAATAGAGTTTATGCTTGAACTGATTTGAAGTCTTGTTCTCCTGAAATATCTGACATAAAGGACCTGAGTTTAAAGTAAAAGTAAACGGAATGTCTAAATATTACTTGGCTAAATAGAAACCTACAACTAGAAATGAAATTTAGCTGAATCAGGAGAGGATACGATACATTACATTTATTTAGTGTATGGCTGTATGTGCCATATACTGATACTGTAACCACCTCATCTTACAATCCCCCAAACAGGACATTTTTTTTAACAATATTTAGATATTTACGGAAATGCCGTAGCTATAATGTGTGCTTTTAGTGAGATGTGTACAGGAATTTTACCTCATCCTAGGAATGATCAGAGATCATGATTTCAACAGTCTGTAAATGCATTCTGAATTATAATTATTTTATGAAGTAAGTACCTTATTTAATTTCTAATAACATAAACAGTGGACCTGAGATGAATTTCAAGTCTGACACTAGATATTATATGGCTGATTCTATTTATAACTGCATGTTTATAATCAACATACATGAATGTCTCTTTAAGCCATATTAGCTGACAGAGGAAGAATCTTTCTTTTAAGATACAAGTTGCAGAAATTAAGACTGATACAAGAAATGTCCCTGAAATGAATGAAAGTACTTATAAGTTGCCTTGAAAAATAATGTATTGTTCCCTTCAGTAGAATAATATAGTTACACAGAGAGAGACGCACAGAAGAGAGAAGAACAATAACTTATTGTTATCAATATTCTGGGACTTTTCTAGTTTATCTGCTTCTGTGAGATTGAAATCTGTGGGAAGGTGTAGGTTTTGTAAGGGAGTCTGAAGTAGTCTCAAGGAATCATTTTACTTGCAGGACAGAGGTTCCATCTGGGTAGCATACTATACCTGAGAACTACTGTTTAATATTTAAAAAAGAGAAGAAAAAGCAAAAATAAAAGCATATTTTCCCCAAACAAATTTCTGCAGAACTCCGTGGCATTTAGTTCTGGACTGGATGAGTTAGAGCTAGGGCAGGAAGTTGCTTTGGACACTTCTGGATTTTTTTCTTCCCTTGCACTAGCAAGCTGGTTATAGAATCTAGCAGTGACTGGAGCTCTCTGATGCTACCTGCCACTAAACCTCCTGCTGCATAGGGAGGAGGGTTCTTGTGACAAGCGGTAATTTTAGAAATCTCTAAACTTCGGAGGGGATGTTTCTTCTAAAAGCCCAATAAATTTATGGGAGCACGAAGAATTCCTGAGGAAGAATCTGTGTCCAGTACAGCACAATGTGGGCAAGTTACCTTCATGAGATTAGCGCCTCATTTTCTGTCTCATCTATCCAGATTTTACTGGCGCTTTAGCAACCACTGGCATCGTAGATACAGGAGTTCACTTGCTTAGTGTGCTTGCGTTGTGGTGGTGGTGGTAAAAGGAATAAATACAAATAGATTGTGATGAATGTGAGCAGATATGATTGAGCTCACGCTGTTTGTGGAAGGTTAAGCTTCTGTTTTCAGTGTAGAGCTGCACTTTTAAAAACGAAGCATGAATATTGGCACAGGTTTCCGCAGATCAGAGCGGGGAGATAGGTGAAAGAAAATGATTAGGGAGAAAATTTTAGAAGGAAGAAGGGAGGAGGTGTGGTCCCTGGAGAAAGAAATTGTTCCAAAGAATTGGAAAGTGGGTAGCGTATAAAATGATAAGATTGGAAGAAATCTACGTGATTCCTCAAATCCAGCCCTCCTGCTACTGGAAGCAGCTATGCCATACGGTCCATTGCATAAAGTGATAAAGCTCCTTTTCTTACCTTCCAGTTTGAAGTTGCAGCATCAATTGAGAGTTTTGTGATGCTGAACTTGTGCTTTTTTTCTAACATGCAGTTCAGGTAGTTGAAATTAGATCTAGATGCAAGTATCCTGACTGTGTTTAACTCTTCTGTGGATTGAAGTTGCAGCCAAGAACTGTTGTTGTCTCCTGATTGTTGAGAAGGTCCTTGAAACTGTTGCTGTAACTTCCTTTGAAAGTCTCAGAGAAGTGGCAAATTTTATTGCCCTTGACAGAAGATTGCAAATTTTCTGAAGAATTTGCCTTTTTGTTTGAGGGCAGGGCGCTGTGGTTAGCTAAGGGATCTCTACTGGCCTTTGTTTCTGAACTAAATTTGAATCCTTCAAGATTTTGTTCTCCTTTGAGATAAGATACTGTTTAACAGCTGCGTCTGAGTATTTTATTATGCAATCCAATTTTAGAAGCTTGAAAATGTAATTTTTATCTTGCCTCAGTCTTTTGATTTCTGATTTCTTTCATTTTCTCACAAATTCTGAAGTAAGTGTTTTTCCCCTTCCAGTATTCTAAGTAGACTCTCTATTGAGGCTTTAAAAATAATCCTATTTAGGATTTTAAGTAACATTCCATTAATATTTCAAATGCACCTAATTTTCTAGAATGGCAATTTTCCCCCAACTTCACTTCTAAGTCAGAAAAAAGGTTAAAAAGAAAATAAACTAATTGAATGCTGCAAAATTTTTTTTTTTTTTTTTTTTTACAAGTAAAGCATATAGCTGGTTGCAGGTGATGGAATATCATAAGGCCTCATGCATGCATTGCGTACAGTAATAGCAGTGTGTTACTGTTCTAGGTTTTGGCAGATAAGCATGGCAATGCTTTGTGGTTAAACGAGAGAGAATGCTCCATTCAAAGAAGAAATCAAAAAGTTGTGGAGGAAGCACCAAGGTAAGTGGACTCTATGCAGGTTAAGAGTTACTGAAAGCGCTTGCAGAAAGCTACTGATTTTATTTCTTGTACAAATGCGAACACCATTTATTCTGTTAAAAAACATGAAGAACAGTATGTAATGTTGACTGTAAGACAATTTTGATGTTGCACTTAAGAGGATAGTTTGATCTTACTTCATGATGTTTATGTAAGAAGAAAACCAGTGTTGAGTTGTTAATTTTTTCGTGATCTTCTGTAAAATAGATACATATCTTATCAGATATGGGGTATATAAGATGGCTTGCCTAATGTACCAGAGACTTTTTTTTGTTTACTCTTCAGCTTTTGGATTTAAGAGTCAAATAAAATATAGAATGGGTATCCAGTTTACCGTTCCTAAAGATATTTGTGTTATACCAATTTTCAGAGGACTAGATCATGCTCCCTTTATTTCCATGTTAAATGTAATTGAAAGGTAAGTACTCTGCACCACTTCTAGGACTATTCATGTTAGTGATCTATGGATATAGGTATCCAGTAACTCAGAAGTATTAAATGATCTTAATCTGTGTATTTCAAAAGGAGCTGAAATACATCGATGCTGTGCAAGATATAGTCTTACTGTATTTTCTATTGCATGGACTTTATCAGAAAATACACATAGGAAAGGGGGAAATGATGATTTCAGAAAACCATACAGATATCTGAATAGCTGTGGGAATTCACGATGTAATATGTTCACCAGTTGGAGTGGGCTTTACCATTGTTTTATAGCACAGAGCTATGTGATGCGACAATTTAGGATATGAAAAAACACAACGTTCAACAGACATTTATTTAGAAGTAGAATATAAGTTAATGCTGGACCATAACTGTTAGACTGCCCATTTGTGACCTGCAGCCTCCAGATTTCACAGACAAAAACAGTCTTATTAGACATCAGGCTTCTGAGAAATCCACTAGTACTGGAGGAAGCAACAATAGCTATTAATGTATTTATTACTGAGTATGTATCCTTCAGTTTAAATTTTTTTTAAATTTAATTTAAAACCTAGGTCGTAATGTAGTATGTGTGTATCTGTGTGTAATACACACACACACAGACTCCTAAGCACTTAAGAGCGGATAGTTTTTGCCTCCGCAGTACTTGTAAAGCACTGCCTGCTCATACTCCGTGCCTGTGGTCGATTCCGTGGAGTGATAGGTCTTTCTCTCGGCAGCCAGGTGTGTTCAGAATGTTTTCTTTCATCCAAGTATCAGCCTTTGCAACTTTCTTTGCCTTCTTCGTTGTTGTCAGTAAGTTTTTCTGTCCCTTCCCATAACCCTACAATGGCCTGTGAGCAATCCAACAGCTTCCAAAATTTGGCATGACAACTCTTCTTTTTTTTCTTGTTATTGAATGTCTTAGACTTTGCGAGCCTTTTATTGACAGGTTTGGAAACCTTATATACCTTACAGCTAAGTTATTTATAAAGGGTGCCCAAGAGTAGTGCAGATAAGCAAGGCACTCACTGCTTCTGTGATCCTAAAACCTGAAGTTAGCCCTTCCTGTTAATGATGCTTCACTTACTGTTGTTAATTAATGACTCCTGGAAACACCTTTTCCTGTACTTCTGTGTGGAGGAAGTATCAAGTCCCCACTAATCCTTTTTTCCCCTGTTTTTGTGGTAGCTGCCATTGAGAGCTCTGAGCTAGGCTCATTTGTTTTGCAGGAAGCCCAAGAAGTAGGGATGCTGTGGGCTAAAATGTTTATTCATTTTCTATACAATTTAGGGTTTATGACTCTGGCTTCTCTTTAAGCCTTTTTGCCTATGATGGCTTTTTCCAAAGCATCTAAGTGATTTTAAAAGCCTGATTGTTGAGAGTCATTTGGCTGAGAGAATAATATTTGTGGTGATATTAAAGCCAAATAGATGTTCAGCAGTTTGGCCTATCCTAATGGGATCCTCTTGTGTTTGGATCTCTGGTTTTCCTAAGGAAGTTCGATCTTTTGTGAAAAATCTCTCTTTTTGAGTAGAGAAAGCTCTTTGGCTAACACCCTGATGCGGTTACTGTATTCAAGGGAGTTCTGGTGTGCATGATGGGTGAATCCCTCAGTTTTAAATAGGAGACCAACAAACTTTGCTTATTCCCTTTGCTTGTCCCATAGACACTTGTCCTACTCGTTCTATTCTGGGAAGTGTAAACAGTAAACACTGTCTACACGTTGTCTGAGCACTGCCCATGTTCTAGTTAGTGCTGAGTTTTGGCTTCTTGGCACACTGTTGCAGCCAGGCAAAACTTCTGGTGCTTTACAATAATTTTCTTTGTCCCAGCTTTGTACCTTTTTGGGAGATGCTCTTGACTTTTCCCTTTACTGCAGAGATTGAAATTTAAACAGATGGGCAGTATTTTATAATCTGTTGTTCTTCCTTTGACTCAGTTTTTGTTCCTGCTCTGCCCAAAGTCTTCTCCACTCCTTTTCAGAGACAGTTGCTATGAGAGTGTACTTTGGCAGGAGTTGAATTCCTCAATGGGTCTCAGGAGAACCACTTAGTGGTCCTTCATCTTAGGGGAAAGCAGTGTAAGAGAAAGCAGCTGTTTTCTGATACCAAAAAGAGAAGAGTGTCTCGAGACTCACCCTGGGATAAAAATGGTTGAATGCATTTATTTGGAAGGTCAAATTCAGCACAATCTATCTGGCATCATTTTTGCTTCAGAGTGAATTTACTAGTGCAGATCTTAGCCTAAAAGGAACTTCTGTGTTTTAGGTGTTGAACTGGAAGAACTTTAACTTTGCCTTAAGTCAGGATCAGTTTTAAAATTCCTGCCTATGGAATTCTGCTGTGATCTTAGTGAAGATATTTAGTACTGTGGTGCCAACTGTTGTATTTCTCTGTCTGGGTGGTTGGTAAGAGATTCTTCCCTGTGTAGAGTAGCAAGGCCTATGAGACTTATCAGAAAATCCATTGATTCTTTAGGACTAAAAGTAAGCATATTAATCTTAGTTAACTTCCTATTTGACAACTGGAGTTCAGAGGAGTACTCTTAAACTTCACTTTGAGAGCAGGCCTCCTATCTAACCCTTTCAGGACCTGTTAGAGGCTTTTTAAAATGCTTTAACTTTTGCCTCCCTACTTGAGTGAAGGATTGTCCGGTCATTCTGAGGCACTTGACTATTTGTGCTATTTGATGGCCGAGTATAGATTTTATACATATTGTCCAGTTTTGAGTTCAGACTTTCTACATATTCAGCCATTGACCATGTTGCCAGCTTTCCCCAAAAGGGGTTGGGATTTTCTTGTGGTGGAGTGCTATGCAAGGTCTGCAAAGAAAGGGCCTTCTACATACTGTGGCCATCCAACACTATCTTTTACTTTAACAGTCAAAGAGATCAAGCATTTGATCCCCCATGGAATGATTTAGATATCATTTCTCAAAGTGGTGAGCTTCAGGACGCTCCTGAACCTTAGTGTCTGCGTTTTCAGGCCTTTCGTGTACAAGTAATGATGGAACAGCACCCTGCCATTGTATTCTGTATTAGCATACAAGATCTGTACTAGCATCCACAGTGAGCAAGTCATTAGAACTTGGTAGCTGCCCTCTTCTTTGTTATCTCAGCCTGTTCTCTAGAGGTTTTAGGTGATGCTGCATCCTTTTGATAAAACCTTGGCATATGATACTCTTTCAGAAAATGGATTTTGTTAGGACACACTCTTAATCCTTTCCTAAAGTTTCCCTGAGTTCCATCTCAGCCAGGAGATTAATCATTTAGTCTGTTTTTTTCCTCCCTAGCTGCATGCATTCAGAGTTGAGCTGCCTTATCTATTCTAGGTATTAGTTTTGCAGTATCTTTTTAAATTGAAAGATGTCCTTTCAGTTTCAGTTCCAAGGACAAAAATATATTTTCTCTTTCTACCTGTGACAGAAGGATCTAAGATACGTAGGAGATTCCAAAAGGGAGACTATTTCACCAGGAAGTGAGCACATTAGAATGAATATGAAATGGTTAAACTACTTTTGTGACCTTTTTGGCATGCACCATTTTTAGCTTCTTTCAGGAATGTTTCTGTCCCTGGAAGCTGCATGGACTGGAACTTCTTTTACTTTCTCCAGGCACTAAACACTCTCTGGAAGATCTCAGTGTGATGCCAAGTACTTTAGGACCATATTCCAGATTAACTGTCAGGATGCTTCTTGAAGCCATCCACAATTTGAATCAGAGCTGTGTAGACAAGCACTTGATGGAAAAGTATATTATTGAACTATATTGTATGTACATGTTCTCCTTAGAGTTGTGCTGTGTATATGTTCATCTGGAACCTATATTTCTTATCACTCTAGAAATCCTTGAAGGATTCTGGGTTAAGAGAAACTGTGAGCTGTTCCATTTGTAGGTACGTACATGATTTGTAGACAATTTACACACTGAGGCAAAACAGTCTCTATTTGCAAATAGTTTAACATATTTATGCCTGGTGTGGTACGTGTAGACATCTCAAAGAACAGTTACTGTAGATGAGTAATTTTTTTAAAATAAGTAATATACTCAGCTATTTTCTAAGAGCAGATAAGCTGAGCGTGAAGTTTAGAAAATGAAGATACTGACATCTCCCAGCGTAGTGGTATCTTCAGAGGAACAGTAAATGTTATAAGTGAATTATCACTGATTTTTTTTGTCTATGAGTTGAGCAATAAATTTCTACTAGCAGTGCAACTGCCTATACTTTTCAAAATACTCAGCCTGATCTCTGAGTGAAGGTGATAAAGAGTATTTTGGGAAATTATTTTCTGATGAACTGGGGATGGAGAGGTAACATCTTGCCTGTGTGGTCATCCCTCTGGATGTAGAAACAATAGAACAAGTCAATTGTATTGTCTTTCATCAGTTTAACAATAACTTGAAGAAGATCTTATGAATGAGATGTCAGGTCTGATCTTATTTTTTCTTTCTGGTGCTTTTATCTTGTGAATTCCTTTTATTTGGAGGCCTTCTTGCTGCCACAGGACCTATTTGGTCGGAAGAATAACAGGCATATGTGGGAGAAAAAGAAGTGAAGTCAGGTTTAAATACTGTGTTTTCAAGTGATGCCTGATTAGGTTGGAAAAGATTTATTGCAGTTGTAAAAGGTGAGTGGTTAAACAAGGGGGAAACAATGTATATGAAAGGTAAAGCCGCAGAGGGGAATAGGAAAACTTCAGTTGATTAACCTAGCTGATTGCAGGGATAATTCAGTCATTCTAGAGCATAAAGCTTAACCACATGGCCCAGATCCAGTTTAGCAGTGTGACACTTCTATTCCGTTCTTTGGCTACAGCAGGAGGTAACAGAGATCTCAGACATACATTTAACAAACATAGGAAGACACCACTGTAATGAAGGGGAGTAACTCTTTCCTCCATCTGAGAAGTAATAATGGTTATTCTTAGAAATAAATATGAAGCCAATATTGAAAAGGTTCTGTTCTTCATAAGCTGCTCGTATTGAACTTTTGTGACTAAAACCCTGGAGAAACCCTGGACTGAATTATAAGTTGTTGATTTTGTGTAATGAGTTATCCTCTTCACTGAAGAATTAAAATGCCTAATTAAAAAAAAAAATCTAAAAATGCCTGCTTTACTGTCCATCAGAGTCTACCTACACTGGCGCTGAAAGAGCTCAGGGTCTAAGTAGCTCTCTTACTTTGAAGAAAAGGATTCCATTATCTCTGAACTTGCCTAAATATTTCCTCACTTTTTGTGTCATGTCAAATATGGCTTGTTCTACTGGCAGAAGTTTCTAGCTCTCCTGTGAACGTTTGTCTTAATGAAAAACCTCAGAGGAAGTGCTGAAAGTAAAGTCCTGACCCAGCAATGGTCTCTGAGTAGATTCTTGGGCTCAGCTGGACCTGCCTGGAATTTCTTGGGCCACTTCAGATAAATGGAGGCTTCTTTGCAGAATTAGGACCCACTTCTGAAGATACCCCAAGAGATGCAAAATATTTGGTGTAGCAGCCTTTTCATTTTAAATAGTAACTTACAGGTGTAAGGTAGAAGTGACTTTCTGTTCTGCTACAAAAGTACTTCCTAAAATGAGTTGTGTGCCTCAGGTAAGTTGCTACAGGAATATAATAAACATATGTACACTTCTGTGAGATAAACCACTAAATGTTGTTTTTTGTTTTAAGTCAGTGTATCAGGGTGAAGACAAAACTGTTCCACAACATTGATCGAAAGCCTCAGAAATTTTCCTAGCTCTAAATTAACAATCTGCATAGGTTAAATCTGATTTTGCAGTGCAGAAAAGAGGAACAAAGAAAATACGTATCTTCCTGAGTCTTTCAGTTCACTAGGCCGATGGAATGGTGTATTGCTCTCCTAGGATGGAAAGGCTTGATGTTTGGGCAGTGGTCACAGTGGCTCCTGAGCTGGTAGCTTTGGGGCCTTTGAGTGGTGCCAAGTGTATGGAATGGAATGAATTGCAATTACAAACACAGATAACTAATGTCTTTGATTTACAAATAAATCTGAGATGAATTACAGGGTATGATAAAGCCAACTTTATGAACTTCCAGAATGTTGTTATTGCATAGTGCATCGCTGAAATGGCCATGTCGTTCTAATTCAGAGTCTGAAAATAACCCCACCTAGACTTAGTCTTCTATTTTGGCATTCCAGTTTTCATTGGGTGGTTTCTTTTCTTACAGTTTCATCATGCCAACTTTCTAATTACAACTAAGAAAAGCAGATATGCGTTTCCAATGAGTCATGAATTTGTATATCCTTGTTTAACTTACATTTTTATAGATCTCGGTATTGTAAAAAAGTTGTTCTGTTTTTTGTATTTTAAAAATACTATTTATCCTGAATATCCTGTACTTTGTGATGGTGAAGAGTGCAGTGTATTTTTTCAAAGGATCTTAAAATGAAAGAATGTTTTTCTTCTGAAGATAAGGCTAATCTTGAGACATGAGAAGTCAGAAGATTTAGCAGTATTTTTGCACCAATATAAATGCAATGAGACACACTTGACAGTCTTAACATGATGTCTTCATACCTTTAATATTCTCCTCCTCTTTTGGTATTAGTTTAAGTAGAAGATTGAATGGTTTAATTGCCTTTTTTGACTAAAGAAAGGCATTGTTTCTGTATTGTAGCACTTTTCTAGACCCTGAAACTCGAAGAGCAATGGGAGAACAAGCAGTAGCTCTTGCCAAAGCAGTAAAATATTCCTCTGCTGGAACAGTAGAATTCCTTGTCGACTCCAGTAAGAATTTCTACTTCTTGGAAATGAACACTAGACTTCAGGTAAGAAAAACAACTCTTCAGATTCAGAGAAGTGTTATTTAAAAAAACAAAGCATAACCTCTTTCCATACTTAGGGTCTGCTACTGCAAAGACTCGTACATAACTAACTTGATGCATGTAAGCACTTACCAATGAAGTTGAAAGGGCTGCTCACTTAAGTAAGCCTGGATATAGAAGACTGCAGCAATGAGACTTTCACAGCACTCAAGTAAGGACTTGGAGCCTTTGCTCTTTGTTGCCCTTAACCTGAAGACCTTGCAAGAGGTCACTGTTAAGTGCCACTGTGAGTTCACAATAAGTGGCAATTCACTGTGCTTTGATGCTTTTCCTCACTAGCCACTGAAGTTTCCTTTTTGTTTCTTACATTTTGGCAATAGTTGGCTGAGTTTCTCTAGGAGGAGGATTAAAACTGTGTGTATATCAGAAATGAAAAACACTAGCAATATGAATATAATTGAAAGCATGGATGGAATGCAACATGCAGTAAAAAGCATGCTGACATCATGGTGTAGGAGTTTTTATAAAAACTCCTGTACTTAAGTAGTAGATGTTATAATGTGCATTACAAATGAATGGACAAACATAATGTTTAATAGACAACCTCTTCTATGCCTTGTTTCACTACTGTAGTGCATATCTGGTCATAGTTTAAGAAAATGGGCATGTAACTTGAAGTCTGAGTGTCATTCTCAAAGACAAGGAGAAAGCCTAACTTGTGAACAAGTAATACTGTAGTCTTTATCCTCCTTCTCTGAGTTCAGATAATACCAGAAGGATAGAAACGTGAAGTCAAGCAATAGAATGATTAACTCCTTATTCTATTTTATCTGTATTTAATTAGAACTGTTTTCTGTCTGCCTCTTGTTAATGTGGGCGATGTTGGAAAAAGCATAGAGACAGCCCTGTAATCCCAACTTCTTTGTATGACTTAGTATACTTTGACTTATGTATGACTTTGGAGGCCAGTAACAAGCAGTGTCCTCCAGGGGTCAGTACTGGGTCCAATCCTGTTCAATGTATTCATCAGTGACCTGGAGGAAGGCACACAGTACACCCCCAACAAGTTTGCTGATGACACTAAACTGGGGGGAGTCACTGATACACCAGGCTGGAGAGATAGGCAGGGAGGAACCTCATGAAGTTCAACCAAGGCAAGTGCAGGGTCCTGCACCTAGGGAGGAATAACCCCATGCCCCAGTGCAGGCTGGGGGCTGACCTGCTGGAGAGCAGCTCTGTGGAGAAGTCCATGGGAGTCCTGGTGGACAACAAGTTGACCATGAGCCAGCAATGTGCCCTCACGGTCAAGAAGGCCAATGGTATCCTGGGTTGCATGAGGAAGAGTGTTGCCAGCAGGTCGAGGGAGGTGATCCTGCCCCTCTCCTCAGCCCTGGGGAGGCTGCATTTGGAGTCCTGTGTCCAGTTCTGGGCTCCATAGTGCTCACTTCTGCTTTTGCTAGGACTTTGGTATGCACAGTCTAGTTTCCTCAGATTCAGTTTAAAAGGATAATGGTTAATTGCTATGTACTGTTTATTAAAATATTATGAAGAATTTGTCTCTTTGAACATAGTTTTCCCAGTCTTGTAGTTTTTGAGATATCTTCCAATGACCCTTGATGCTCTCTTATGTAGAAGAGAATTCATTTATGTGTTTCTTTGTAGCCCACCAGAAGTTCCAAACCATTTCCCTGTTACAATGTTTCATTGGCTAACAAGGTATTATTTAGCCTGGAAATAGAATTAGCAATCAAGTATCTTTTGAGTTAATTCACTTTGCAATTGTTTTCTAAGATGTTACCTTTGCTCTTTTGGTGTCTGTCTTCCTCCCTC